GGAGGCAGAAGTGCTAACGGCTGCAACACTGTGCTGTGCATGGTGGAAAGGATGAAGATAAATACAGTGCTGTAATCAGCAAAGTGCGTGAAGTGTTTGCGGTAGGTTCTTGGAACGTTGAATGGTTAGTGGATGACATATCAATCATCAGGGAACAGAAGCGTCTTATTTCCTTATATACTACTTGCATTGGTTATAACCCATATAATGAAAATGATTCTTACAGACAGAAGGCACTGCTCTAAAATTTACATTAGAAACAGGATTGCCTCAAAATCAACTGTATTGCATTATAGCAACTAACCAGCAGGTGGCAACATTGCACTGCTCAAAATCTGTCTTTTAGTTTATGGTTCAGTAAAGTTCCAGGAAAGGGAAGCATTTGTTTTTTGCATTAAACCTTCTTTAATAAATAAATTAACAAGGATAAATAGTACAACACGTGTTTTCTAACATAAAATTATTACCAAAATTGCCAAACCAGTTTGTTCAAATTGTCTTTCAACCGAAATTGCATGAAACCACACAATGTAACCGTTTGAAGATTTCTAACAGTTCATGGCAAAAAGACTGTGCCATTTTTAGTTTCTAGTGAGCTTTGGCAGCCTCCCTAATAGTGGCTTGAATAAATTTAAAGCGAAACCTGTGCTTTGTCCATGCTTGGAAAAGCAACAGATTCATGTTAAAGCCTCCTTACCCAGTAGCACATTTCCCTTGCCACTTGCTCCTGCCAGATGGGGGAACAAATGTACTGCTGTGGAGAGGGATTAAAGCTTACAGGTGGCATTGCTCTGCATTGCCAAAGCACACATTTGCATTAAAGGCATATTGAAAAAAAAAATTATAAATGCACACAAAGGAAAAACAAAAAAAAAGTCTGCATTGCACCCACAATCAGTGCATCGCAGGTGCAATGCACAGGCTTTTGCAGACTCTTCCCCCAGCCTCAGAGTCATATGGACTTTCTGGTATGCGGCTGGAGAAAGCAAATAATGGAATAGAGGTGCGGTGACATCACAACACTTGTGCTACATTGAGATCCCCTGTTGCGAGATTGGACTTGTACCACGCGCAGCCGAGTCGAATTAAAATGAAAACAGGAGCCTGAGGGGGGAAGCACCCTGCAATTCAGGTAAGTGGAGAGGTTGTTTGGGGAGGAGGGGGTGTTAATGTAACCATGTTTTATGATGCATCCTAAATTTGGGTGTAACATAAAGATTGGTCATACAACTGGACTATACTTTTAAATCAGGAATGTGAAACTGGTGTTTATGGGGCATCATGTGGCCCATTCATTCCTTCTTCTTGGCCAATTTAGGAATGTAAAGTGAATAAGGCTTAATTTGATAATGGCTACACTTCCTTAAATAATGTTTCAGCTGACTGCTCTATTAGATGTTAATGTATCCTTTCTCGGGGCTAAATATTAATATTAAAAGTTACAGTGTACTATAATGTTATGTTATTTGGCCCACTGTTTATTTTGTGTTTGACATGCTTGTCTTAAACCCAGGTTTGTTCTTTGTTTACCTCTCCAATAGTCAGTCAGAAACGGTTGTACCCATACAGTACGTACCCTATTGCATTAAGGTATGTACACAAAAATACAAACACACATGCTCCCTCACAGCTTCCCAGGCACCAAGGACTGCAGCTGTTAAGTGAGGAATGTCAGTGGGAAGTGCTCTGTATCACTGAGCCAGTTACAGGGAGAACTTTGTGATCTCTCCACCAGCAAAGTGACTAAAAACATGGCACCTGATGTTGTGATTTCAGTGTTGCACTCGGGGTGATTAGGGTGTGCCCAAGCAGATCCAGCACACCCCGTGCATACACCTATGGTTGTACCATTACTTAGGACACTTGACCATACACTGTTATTATTTTTCACTCAACCTGTGGCCACTAAACATCATGAATCTCCAACTGGACTATTCATGGATGAATCTCCAACTGGACTATTGTATTATGACAGAGGCAGGTGTGTAGCTGTCAAAATACACAAACAATGTTTGCCCAAAAATATTCTCACCAGCAACTTCAATTTTCTGATTGAAAGATGCGGGAGCAAAGGCTTCTGACAGGGCCACCCACTGAATTAAATTCCCACAGTGTATGGCCAGCTTTAATGTCAGTCTGCTCTGTGCCATCATGTGCCGTATTCAGCAGGCTGCTCTTTCTGTCTCATAACATTGCCACTATTTTTTTTCATGGTCACAGCCAATTTATTTGATAACTGCCAGTGTTTATTCTTATATCTTACTCAGTCTGCCATAAATGGACATGGTTTGTCAATTATCTAAAGCAGGGGTCTCCAAACTGTGGCTCTTTTCTTGCCTTTAACCGACACATGAGGCACCATTCCTCGCACTGAGACCAACGATGGAGAACTATTCCTCCCACTTATAATAATTATGGGGCACTATTTCTCAGACTAATTCCAGTGATGAGGCATTTATTCTTTCCACTGACACCAGTAATGGAGCACTATTCCTTCCACTGACACCAACGATGGGGCACTATTCCTTCAATTGAACGCAACAAAGGTGCACCATTCCTCCCACTTATACGAGGCACTATTCCTCTGACTAATACCAGTGATGGGGTATTATTCTTTCCACTGACACCAGTAATGGAGCACTATTCCTTCCACTGACACCAACGATGGAGCACTATTCCTTCAATTGAACCCAACAAAGGGTTCTACTAATGCCAACAATGGGGCACAATTCTTCCCACTAATATTATTTATGGGGCACTATTCCTCTGACTAATACCAGTGATGGGGTATTATTCTTTCCACTGACACCAGTAATGGCGCACTATTCCTTCCACTGACACCAACGATGGGGCACTTTTCCTTCAATTGAACCCAACAAAGGGGCACCATTCTTCCCACCAATGCCAACGATGGGGCACTATTTCTCAGACTAATTCCATTGATGGGGCATTTATTCCTTCAACTGACACCAGTAATGGAGCACTATTCCTTCCACTGACACCAACGATTCCTTCAATTTTACCCAACAAAGGGGTACCATTCTTCCCACCAATGCCAACGATGTAGCACTGTTTCTTCCGCTGAGACTAATGATAGGACACTAACTTTAAGGCATTACTCCTTCCACTGAAACCAGCGATTAAGCATTATCCCTCCTCCCACTAACCATAGGCACTAGGTAGTTTTTTACTCCCACTGTTCACCAATACTTCTATAGACTGTTCACTGGTATGAAATGGGTTGATATCAGTTTAAAGAAATGATTATAGCAAAAAAGGAAACCAGTGCCTCAAATTTCCAGAGGATCAAAAAGTAGAACTGTGTTTATTTCCTGGCTTTAATCTGATGTTCATAGTGCCCATCTTTGTACATAGCTATTTTAGCATGTTTTTAATGCAATTTTAGATTTCCCTGTTACTTTTGTGTCCTTTGTTTTTTAATTAGGAGAAGACACCCAACTACATTGGATTATACAGTTCAAGTTCTGTTTTGTGTGTGTGAGATATACAGCGGTCCCTGTTCAGATTTTGTGCTAGGCCATATGGCTTTTAGATTTGTCTTTATGCTTCGCTCTGCCCATGAAGACAGCACCATGTTTGTGTAATTTATGAGTTGTAAAAAAAATCAGCACAGTAAAAAAGTTTTCAGTTAGAGCTTTTCCAGGGTTAATAGTTGATCTATTTTGGCTTTACATAAGAGACCTTCCTGTTAGTATCTCTGTAATGGAGCTGTGGAAAATACCCTTCCCTTAGAGCACCCCCTAAATTCCCTTTTTAAAGCATTTTTGTATATAAACTTTTTTGGAGCTGTCTGTGACCAGGTTACATGACGTTGTTAGGTTCTTCTTCACTACCTGCGGCAGTGGTGGCCTGTCCTCTATGATGCAGAGAATGGTGCTCACATTGTGACATAGGCACTGTTGTCTGTCTGCATTATTCTTCTTTGAGCCCAGGGCGCCTTGATGATATACTCCCAGGGAACTAAGAGAAGGTTGTCTAAATAATGATGGGGTAATTCAGTTTGGAAGAGGAGTGGCGGCCGAGACCAGTTAAGGACTGGAGTGTGAAGAGGGTTAGAATTGCCTTGGGATTTTTTTTTAAAGAAAACTAAAGCTGGAAAAACAGCAGTGAAATTTTGTTTGAATTTTTTTATTTTCTAAACATTTATTCAATTTTCTAATGGTTAGTTAGTTATTTGACAATAGATGAGCAAAACTGAAAGAGCAAGATGGAAAATCTTTCATGTTTCTTATATGAATGAATTATTTCTAACCTTGATTGTGTTTTTTTTCGTATGGTATATGTATACAGGCCACCTCTATAATAAGGCAGCCCGAGGCTATTGGCTCAGATGGAATCTCTCTGGGCAACCTGCGGGGGCGGAAGGCAGAGCGGCATGGTACAATTTTTGCAGTGTACCTGCCACTCGCTTTTCGACCAGAGCATTCCAGGTTGCCAAGAGATGGGCAGGAAGATGTGTAAGAGCCATACACATCTCCCCTCCCAGTTCTTCGCAACCTGGGATGCTCTGGCCGGCGTCTAGACACTGACAAAAAAATTGTTTCGTTTCATTCTGATTCGGATTTTGTGTTATTTCGTTTTTTAGGATTCCGGTGTGAAAGTCAATTCGGATTCGGACTAAATTCGTTAGCGGTAGTTCGTTCGAACGTTCGTTTCGTTTTAATTTCTTATTCGTTTTGTTCATCTTTCGTTTGCAGCAAAGTGACATTTGAGGGGGAAACATTTTTTTTCTCCTTCTCTAATGTCACTTTGCTCCAACGTACGAATGAACAAAACAAATAAGAAACAAAAACGAAACGAACGTTCGAACGAACTACCGCTAACGAATTTCGGAAACGGAAATTTGGATTCGTTTGCATTCGTTATATCTGTAATTCGGAATTCGGATACATCTGAATGTCCGAATTTCCGAAAATTCATCCGAATTTCGATTCGGAACGCAACGAATCGCGCATGTCTACCAGCGTCCCACCCACCTCCTTGCAACCAATAACATCACTGGTTGCCTGGAG